CAGCCCATGGCAGGGGCAGCTGGAACTTGGTGATCTTTAAAGTTGCTCCCAACTCAAACCATTCTGTGGTTTGACAGTGATTTCCAGGGAGCTCAGATCACACACAGCAAAGGGGAAAAGTTAAAAAGCTAAGATTATATAAGAAGGAAATTTGGCTACAAGCCATTTCTGGATTTTAATAGTCATTGCTTACTAGATTTATTCTTTCTTCCAGACAGAACAAACAGAAAAGTTTTTCTTCCCATCAMATTAGAGAACATTGACAAGATTCCTAAAGCTATTACTAATTATAATGATTAGAAGAAAATTGTGTGGTTAATGACAAATGTTCTTTTCTTTCTTCTGTACATTTTGTTTCCTCCCCCTGTACCTTAGACACACACTCAGAAGTCTCTCTGCAGCTTTGGTCTCCCTCCTGAGCTCTCATTTTCCTGCCCAAGGCAAGCAACTTGCTGCCCTCCAGCTTCACATTACATTTTTCACCCATTTTCACCTTGCATGTTTTGCTCTACTCCCCCTGCTCCACGCTCACCTTTATGACCAACACTGAGGAGTGATGGATCAAGGGAGATCTGAGTATCCCCTCTTGCAGAAATAATTAAATATATGCTGAACTCAACACTGCACATGTCAATCACTTTCAGTAGTTCAAGAAAACCACCTTTCTAGAAAGAAAGAACTAGAAAGAAAACTACCTCTTTCGCAGTCAGTTGATGAAACCTGAAATAATGGCTGCAATAACAGCTGTCAATTTTAAAGTTATTTTGATGTAAAATGCATTGACACCCTCTGCTGAATTTGGGGAAAAAATAAATCTGGGGTGGAGGAAAATTYTGTCTTCACTCTCAGATGAACACAGAAACAAAAGCTTCTATTTCATGAACAACTGCAACTAAGCCATAAATTCCTTTTTATTTCTAAATGAGATGCATGTTTTATATTCAATGCAAAAATAATTTTACTACAACCTTTCAATGCTCAATTTTCAGAATTATTTTCTTGTTGAATTCTTCAGCTTTCTCATGAGTTTCTGCTCCCCCTACCCTTTCCTTTCACTTTTAACTGAACGACAGTATTGTCACYAGGTTCAACCACAATTTCACTTGACAGGTCTTCAGAGGCAGCTCCAACAAAGGCCAGGAGCCAGTGCAGAAGGTGCTGCAAATTCTCTGAACATGAGCAGCTAGTGAGAWGTATAGTAAATTAAAGATACAAAGCCAGACAGGAGTACAAAAGAACCAAACAAACTCYATGGTACTGAAAATCTACACACAGGAAAATGGATGGATAGCTGTCAAACTTGTCAGAAGTACACAAAAAGCCATGGTTGTGCAGAAAGCATTATAATAAAACCAGATGTTTGCATCTAGTGAAAGGAAATATGGGTGAAAGCAAAAGTGTTCATTTGCAGGTCCTTACCTAGCAATTAGCTTTGGATAACTTCAACTTTTGCAAAAAGAAGACAACATTCTTGCTGATAGCAACCTCAGGAGTTTATCAAGAGGCACAACCTACAGAAGCCCTTAAGAGTCACTCGCATTCTAAGGAAGATGCAAAGAGATCAGAGCAGCAGAAGCATTTTAAAATCAGTATCAATGCAGTGTGAGGGATGAAGGGATTGAGAGCAACCCTGCAGAACAGGCACTGGTGAATGGAAAGTTGGACTTGAGCTGCAAAAACGCACTCACAGCCCAAAAAAACAACTGTATCTTGTGCTGCATCCTAAGCAGCACGACCAGCAGGTCAGGGGAGATGATTCTGCTTTTACTGGAGTGATGCACCCAGATCTGGGCCCCCAACACAAGAAGGACCTTTACTGGCTGGAGAGGGTACAGAAGAAGGGCACAAAGGTGAAGAGAAGGCTGGAGCACCTCTCCTATGAAGACAGGCTGAGAGAGCTGGGGTTGTGCAGCCTGGAATAGTTAAAGGGGGCCAGGCTTTTCAGCAGGGCCTGCTGTGACAGGACAAGAGGTGATGGTTTTAAACTAAAAGAGCATAGATCCAGACTAAAGCTAAGGAAGAAAACTTTTAGGATGAGGGCAGTAAAACACTGCCACAGAATGACCAGAGAGGTGGTGGATGCCCTACTCCTGGAAACATTCAAGGACAGATTGAATGGGGCTCTGAGCAACTTGGTCTACTTGAAGATGCCCCTGCTCACTGCAGGGAGGATTAAATTGGACATTTAAAGATCCCTTCCAACCCAACCCATTCTATGAATCTAAGGCAAAAAYGGGAAGGAAAGGTGATGCAGTTCAAGTAACACACTAGCAAAATTACACTAGCRAAATACAGGTTCTGGGCAAAAACAGGACAGTATTACAGCCAGAAATTAGTTTYGGCACAGCAATGAAAACAGAAAGATCAGAAGATGATGGACAGAGTTTAAGTTCCTTTACCTTCCCACTTGAACATTTTGGCAAGAACACACAGACCACAGCATCAAGATCTAGACACAGACTAGAGGTAAAAGCTTAAGGGGAAAGACGTGCCCTCCACAGAAGTCAGTGATGACACCCAGGTACAGAATCTGAGTCYCAGACCCAATAGCACACACTGACTCTGTACATGGGAAGTTTGCGATTTCTAACATGTCAGACAGACATCTTTTTATCTGTATCAAAACTATGTTCTCTTAGTTCTGCATTTCCTAGAGGTAAACATGTTCTTTCACACTTTGTCACACTACATTCAAAACTTCTGACATATAGCTCTGTCCTTCTGTGCTGCAACCAGAGTTTTTCTGGCCTTTTCTCTGACAGGTGATAAAATACAGGAGTCAAAACATGAGCTCTAGCAGTGACAGGTTAGATTCAGATAAATTGCTGCCAAGGAAATCATGACAACAGAAAGCAAACCCTGTCTTGACCAAGCCAAAAGCAGCCAAAAGGTGGAAAAGGCACAGAAAGGACACACTAGACAACTGTTGCTGGGTTGAAATGAACACTCAAGGATAGAAAGTAATCTTGCTTCTTGCCACTGTTGCTGGCACTCTGTGATACATTTCTTATGTTTTTTTTCTTTCACACTTTTGTTCTACCACAGAAAGTCTACACATTAAACAAATTACAGGTCTGCAGCATTTAATCGTGTTGATCTTGATAAATGCATTTGAGGATGATCTAATCTATGCTAGTGAGCRTTCAAATAAAAAGTTCCTTTCCTCACTCACACCATCTTCTAGTTTTTGGCTCACAGCTGCAAACTTCCTTCTCTAATCTTTTGGGTCTCACTGACGTCATCATGATCAAGTTYAATCTACTAACTGGATGGCAAAGTAATCCAACAAACCTAGAATATTTTCCTTACAAGTTAGTGACTGGTAGTGGCTTAGTCACTGCCAGTACTGCAAGTACTGAACAAAGKAAGCAGAGGAACTGCATAGCAAAGAGTTGGGAAGAACAAACTTGTCATTTCAACCATGGTGGACTCTTTTTACAGGACTCACTGTTTCATGGGATAACAACTGAAAAAGCACAATGTCAGTCCCTTCCACCCTCCTCCCAATGGCTTGTGGCTCCCTGGACAGTCGCAGCACTATTTATCCCAAGAACTGTTCATTATCCAAAGGGAGTCATTGCAGCAGAGGAACAACCTGCTCTGCCACACTGTTGAATGAGAGCTGCAGTTTCACCTCAGTGGCACATGGATCCACTGAACTTGCAAATCTACTTTCAGCTTCATGGTTTCAGCTTCAAGGTTTATGATCACCAATTATTTCAGACTTTCTGTTCATGCTGCCATAATCATTTCACAGTACATATTTATGACTGCAAATGCTCTTTTCCCTATCAATGACCTACAGAACAAACAGAGAGCTTCCAGTGAAGGATCTTGATTTTAGTTTCAATAAAAGCGATTTCACAAACAGCTGTCATGAACTAACAACTTTCCTACCTGAAATYCAGACTTAGTACAGACTAAGTTCATTATTATTGTTGCAGTTTAATACACAAACTAACAAAACCCACATGCATGTGGCAATAATAAACCCAGACATTTGGAATGAACCGGTTCATGTGAAAACAGAGGTGTCCTTAAATATAGCAGAGTGGTTAAAATAGTGATAGCACTGATTCAATACTCCCTTTTTACATCAGCAGTAAGTACAGCAACTACTGAGGGCTTCATTTGACCTTAACTGTTAAGGACGTAATGTCAACATTTGTATMATCAACCTAGTGCCCTGCTCTGACATATTAAGATAAAAGCTAGAAGTACCCCAAATAACGAGATCTTTATTTTTAATTGAACCCACTGCCTTTAGGCAGCAATTAYAAATAAAAGGACTACAAAAGAAATCTGGTTGACCTGCAGTTATTTCAATACTTGAGAGGAGCATGAAAAGTGCAGGTTTGAAGCATGTGATACCTGTTCAATTCCTAATAGAGGTAACTTTTGCATGCAGCTCTTTAAGCTCTTAATGGCCCTATGTCACTGCAACTCTATTAATCTAGAGTGATGAAAAGAATACAGACACTGAATTTGTAGTTAGTTTACAAATTAAAAATGGCTTAAAAAATTGTACTCCACCCCACAATTGTATGTATTTCTTTAAGAAGTTCCCTTGTAGTARTACAATTTTTTGGATTATACATGATCATTTTTCAGAGATTAAACAGTGAAGTCAACTGCTTTAAAGGCAAAGTTAGTATTATAAAAAGTTTTCATGTGTATGTGTCTATATTTGCTTTTAACAGAGCACGAGTTTCTCTGTTATGCACACAATCTTCTCTCCCAYGGCCCTTGAAAAGGGGCTTGACATTTCAATTGCACCAACATCATTATTAGACCATGCCRCTAATCTTTCCCTACTGATGCATACCAGGAAGAACCCCATACAGCTTCTTTGCATCTCTTTTCTAAGCGTTAAGTTTGTAATGGACAAAAAGAATGTTCCCTTTTGCTACAGATATTGTCAGCTTTAATATAAAATGCTTCACATAAGATTAAGATAACACACCATTAATCTAACAACATTTGTTTGAATATAAACTTACCTCTAAATATATTGATGGTGGGTTATGCTCTCCTCCAAATTTGTCTAGCAGTGCCTCTATATGTTCTTGTGTCAATTTAATCATCTGTTTGATGTTCCATACCTAGAATAGAAAATTAAAATTTTGAATCATCAAAAGAAGCCTACAGAATCTGCCCTAAAACAAAATAAGAATCTCTTGATATTTAGTAAGAGAAATCCGTAATAAAAAGTTTAATTATCAATAAGTGAGTGCAAAGGGCTATCCTGTTCATCCTGTGTCAGCAATAGCTTGCTTCTGAAATAAACAGAAAAAACTTGAATTTGGTTTTAAAAATCAGGACCCACTGAATAAACAACTTTTAAGAATGGCTCGTTTTTGTTGTTTGTCATATTAAGTAATTTCCTTGCAAGGCTTTGCAAGCCAGTTTCTGCAGTACTACATAGTTTAGTGAAGTTTTTCTATTAAACCTTAAGCAATCTGCATAAACAACACTCACAAACCCAGAACTAGTGTTCTATTTACACAACAATAGGTTGCCTTGATTTTAAAGAGCACTTTCTGTATCTCAGCTTCCATATTCAGTCTACCCTGCAAGCTACAGACCTTGGACACGACCTGAATAAGATATTTACCTCCTGTGCACAGAGATGACCCTACAGCATTGTACTGTGGAAGCACTCATGTTGTTACTCATTCTTCACAACTGGAAAGAGTTCACTTTAGGACTCTGACACTACTGTACACAAACGATATTACGAATCAGAATTTATACCTAAAAAAGGCAGCAAAGCACAAAACCAAACCTTTAAAGCAATAATGCTACACTGATAGAAGAARCAAGCTGAAGCAAAATCAGAAATGTACAGAAGAAGATGAGGGAGGAAGAGAGGAGACTTGTTTCTTCATACATACTGTTATTCAGACTACTTATCAGAAAAAAWTATTCAATCAGTTTTTAGAGCCAGGATGGGTCACCCCAGAGTGTTTTTTCCAAGGATARTTTAAAGATTCCTGTTACCTTTTCCAGTTTAACTCTTTTCTACGCCATGGATTATATATTATATACATAATTTCAAGATCACGTCTGGATGTACAAATGGTGACAACCTACCTCTGCAAAAAGAACATGCAAATAACTTCATATTCTAAAGTAGGCACCAATAATAGGATGCAATCCAAGATGGATTAAAACAAGTTTTAATACGTAAAATGRGAAGTTTGCAAATAAACTCTAAAACACCGAACTTGCACTTTGCACTTATTTACCCATTCTGTTTCTAGGTATCAGTGATCYGCCAGCAATTTCCCGAAGCAAACTAATAACTGATTCACTTCTAGACCAATTTTTAGAACAGATACCAGAACAAAGATTTCATCAAGAAGCTACAGTTGAGCAAAAATAGTTTGCTCAGGAACAAGCAAACCAAACTGCAAAGAGTGAGAGTGGGGGGATACCAAAGAATGTGMTACTCAACTATTCTGTATGTAAATTCCCTTGAGGCAATGGTGGGAGTCAACTTGCTTCTCAACTTGCAATCATTTATCAGTGAACCTAGGCCTGCCAACCAGCAGCAAACAGAAGGTTTTCTGTATTTGGCTAGTTTTTCCCAAGATGGCAAGGGCTAGTTTTATGCTTGGTGAAAAGAACAAGCAGGAATCAACACCACATCAATGAACCTGTTCAATACATGGCTTAGGATGTTTACTTACCATGTAATTGGTAACATGCTGTTAACCTGGATTGCATACACAGAAAAATTCCTGGCCATCTTAGGAATTATCTCAGGATTATCTTCAGAAATAGATTTATTAGTACTTAATGAAATGTCTATTATTTGGTTATTCTGGCAATTTTACCCAGCAAAGGTTTCCTCATCAAAATGAATCATTTACTATCCTTAACCACCTGGCAATGAGGAAGGTGAAGAGGTAAGGTTCTTCACTGACAAAGCAACAGAGACTTGCAGAAGGATTGAGGTTGGAAGGGAACTCCTGAAGTCATCTGGTCCAAACTCCTCCTTCAAGCAGGATGCCCAGGACCATGTTCATATGTTTTTTTAATATCTCCAAGGATGGAGACTCCACAGCCTCCCTGAGGCCATGCCAGTGCTCAGTCACCCTACAGTAAAAATGTTTCCTCATGTTCAGAAGGAAYCTCCTGTGTTTCATTTTGTGCCCACTGCCTCTGATCCGAGCTGGGCACTGCTGAAGACAGCCTGGCTCCATTTTCCATTTGCCCATCATCTTTGTGGCTCCTCACTGGACTTCCTCCAACACAACCACATTTCTCTTGTAGTGGGGAGCTCTGAACTGGACATGGCTCTTCAGGAGAGGCCTCACCAGTGCCAAGGACAATAAGCCCCTTCCATATGAGTTTCCAAGTACTTTTTTTGAATACTATAATGAGTAACTTCCTTGCTCATATTATTTTCTTTTTTGTGTCCATAACCAGAATGTTGCTTCTCTCTTCTCCTACAGTACAGATACCAAATAACAAATATAACAGCACCAGCAATATCCACAATGGAAGCATGTTATTTTGGAAATGTTGGCATGAGAATCAAACAGCCTTTAACAAGGACAGAGATCTTCCTGCAAAGTTAACATCATGCCAAATGTAAAAACTGAGTGACTAATTCAGGTTGCCCAGCAAAGTTGTGGATGCCCCATCCCTGACAACGTTCAAGGACAGGTTGGACAGGGCGTTGTGCAATCTGGTCTAGTGGAAGGTGTTCCTGGACATGACAGTGGGGTTGGAACAAGAGAGCCTTTAAGGTCCCTTCCAACTCAAACCACACTGTGATTCCATGATTGATGAAAAAAAATTTGGAACTTACTGCCAGCTGCCAGGCTACAGTAAAATTATCTTCACCCAAAGAATAGTCTAATGGGAGACAAAATGTCTCAGAGGAGCCAAAAACATTGCCCAGAATTACCTAGTATATATCAGTGTAGTAAACCCAGAGCCTTTCCACAAGTGAATCTTACAGGCAAACTTAATATGGATTTTTATAACCTTAGAAAGGTTCCTCATACAGTTAGAAGTTCGCTGAAAGCAGAAGGGAATTTATCAAAGTCAGCCATAGCAACAAATAATTACTTGTTGCTCATAGAAATGGRAAAGCTATTTTGTGTGCCATATTCATCAAAAGTCTTCTGACAAGATGAGAACTTTCACAAATCTAGTATTGACTAGCATATTCTAGCCCAAGAACACATATTCTAGCACAAGAACACATATGCCATTACACATTTCCAAGCTTCACAATTTCCTTTTAAGTGGCAACTTGTACTTATATTTACAAAAAGCAAATTTATCTTCTGGCTTCCCACATCTGTGAATGCGCTAAGGCACAGTTTTTTGTGGTCCAGAGCAATCTTTAAGTAGCTGGCTTGAGAGTAAACCCCTGTGCAGACATACTGCATCCTGCTATGCAGGATCTATTGCTGCTTCAATTCAATGGTAGGAACTCAAGTCTTTTCCTCACTGGAACTCAGAATGAGTGACCCCACATGACTCAAAAAAGTCTGCCGCTGCCCACCACAGTATCCACAGYTTTTGCCTCCCAAAAACTCCCCCATCCCTGCTGCATTTACACAGCCACCAGAGCCAGCAACTTCAGTCCATCTTTCCTCCTTGCAGATTTGCTTGCTCAGACAACTCAGCTTAGYTTGCATCATGAGCACAGCCCAGCCTTGCAGAACTTGAGCCAAGATACAGCTCCATATTTGCTGTGGAAAACACACTGAAACGTGAAGTTCGTAAGAATTACATCTCTGGAGTTCAGCAGCACTCACAGATATATAGGGKTTTTTTAACTGTCCAAATAAAACCCAAATGTGCAAAAATAGCCTGGCAAGGGTCTTACTCCCTGTAAGGACATACATTCCAGGACAGCAGCAAAGAACTGCCTAACAACAGAGACACCAAAAACACAGCATATGGAATCCTTTTATCAGCTAGCTCTGGACCAAAGAGCTTGTTCCTACACCATGGAATAAACCCAAGTTTTTAAAGATTAAAGTAATCCCTTTATCTACTCTTTATTCACACTTTTTTAGAAGTAAAAGCAAACTGCAGAAGCCTGATGGTTATTAAGAAAGAACAGACTTTTTTCTTATTATTCTCATGAACACTCCACTATACTTATGAAACCTACACCTGTAGAAAACCGTAAAACCACAATTGTCAAGTATCTTACAGAATTACGAAAATTGATGCCAGCCTCAGAGACAGTTGCTGGAAATGTTAACGCATTCTGAAGTAAAYCTGCAGTGCATCAAGTAGTGCCCACATGCAAGTCTGGTCCCTTTCCATAGGAAACAGAACAGGGATTTGAGACAGTGTTTAAACTGCAGTTCCACGAAAAAGTAATGAATCCTTTACAGCTTGGATAACCATATCATTTTTCCAAAAAAAGCATCAAATAAATGTTTCTGGCCTATCTTGTAGCATTAGGTTAAGGTTATTCTCTATCACAAGAGATTAGATTTGATTCTCCTTTTAGTGCTGCTGACACAAGGAATCTGACGCAGGCTAACACAGACACAGGCAGCCAGACAACTGGAAATATTCCAGATATACTGGAATATATCAACTTGAATCTGCCTATTGTGGATAATTGTGCATTAATTTTGCAAATAAGCACTCCCTTACAATACAATAAAGATGATGACCTATTTGAAGCCAGAGGCAAGTCAGATACAGTAGAAACCTGAATCCATTCTATTCAGGCTCCACAAATCACAAAATATGTTGAGTTGGAAGRTACCCACAAAGATCCTCRAGTCCAGCTCTCAGCCCTGCCCAGGACCATCCCCAAGAGTAACACCAGGAGCCTGTTCCAGCATCCCCCAGGGAAGTGGTCACAGCACCAAACCCGCAAGGGCTCAAGAAGCCTTTGGACAGTAACCTTGGGTACATGCAAGGTTAAGCCACAAAGTTATTTTTGCATCCCTTGCTGCTTGTCAAAATGTGCAGTTCCTGAGACATCACGAAGCAAACTTATCTTTCATACTTTCTGCACCTGGCATCACTACCCAAATCTTGCAGCACATCCCAACTCTAAGCTGTATGATTCATACTTGGTAGAAGACATTGAAAGTTCAAATCTATTCTG